GACCATCCAATTGTCTGATTTTTTTTTAGAAATTATGATCATAGAAATAATAACAGCTAGGATTTACTGATGTGTTCATCACTGTGCCAAGTCCAGGTATGGATTATTCCTCTACAGAGAAGGAGGCTTGGAGGAGACCATAAAGCTGAATAAAGCCAGACTGTGTGACTAGAGGGCCCACACCTTAACCACTTCACCTTCCTCCTGTGCTGGGTCAGAGCTTCCCTCACAGAGCCACTTGCAGAGCTCCACTTCTATCCCTGCGAGCTCTGTGTTCATGATTCTGGAGCCTGCTCTGCCCTCTGGGCCTGGCAAGTCACCAAGGCTCAGAGCTTCCTGCAAGGGCGCTGGAAACCTGGCTTCACACCCAGCCCCACCGAGGCGGAGGCTTCAGGCCCAGTTAGGCTCACTTTGGGATCTCATTAAACTCGCACACATTTCTTCCAAACACCCGTTCCAATGCCTCTTTCTTTCCTCCTTTCCCACCCTAATTTTAAGCTGCAGGGCCTCGGGCCACATAGGAGCTGGAAACCCGGAACAGGCACCCGTATCTCTGCCTGGAAGCTGTGGCCACAGAGGAAGTTGCCCCCACGTGGCAGCTAGACACAGTGCCCCCGCTGGCAGGAGGGAGTGGAGGGTGCAGAGCAGTGAGGCCCAGCTTCCCAGAGGCTGCCTAGAGACTCTCTTGGAGGGAGGGGATGCTCCACAGCTGTTGCTGCCGTGCCTACCACCTCATTAATGTGCAAAATAGATAGTAGATTTTTTACTATTGTTATAAATGTGAAATGTCAGATAATGAGATAGTTGATAAGGAGGAGTAGGTGTATTCATGTATTTTTGTTTGTATCTCATATTTTTGTATCTGATTCAAAAGACAACTACATAAAGCAGGAACAGTTATCTGCATTGATGGACATACAATGTATAAGGGTGATATTTTTATAACAATAATAGCACAAAGGGGGAGAAGGAATGGAGCTAATAGAAGTAAAATTTTATTATTGTTATTATTGAAATTAAGTTGGTATTAGTCTGAACTGTTGTTGTTGCCGTCAAGTTGATTCCTACTTATAGCGACCCTATAGGACAGAGTAGAACTGCCCCCATAGGGTCTCCTAGGCTGTAAATCTTTACAGAAGCAGATAGCCAGCTCTTTTCTCCCACAGAGACACTGGTGAGTTCAAACAGCTGACCTTTGGGTGAGCAGCCAAGCGCTTAACCGTTGCTCTACCAGGGCTCCTTAATCTGAACTATATTGTTATAAATTGAGATGTTAATTATAATCCCCAGGGCAACCAGTACAAAAATAACTCAACAAAATATAGTAAAAGAAACAACAAGGTAATTTAAATGGTATACTAGAGAATATTTAATATAAAAAAAGGCAGTAATGGAGGAATAATACAATAATGATATGACATATAGAAAACAAATAGAAAAGTGGCAAACATAAATCTTATGTTATCAATAATTTCTTTAAATGTAAATGGATTAAACACTCCAGTCAAAATGCGGAGATTGAAAGACTAGATAAATAAGCATCATCTACAAGAGGCATACTTTGTATTCAACCACACAACTGAATTTAAAATAAAAGGATGAAAAAAAAGATACACCATGCAAATAATAACCTAAAGAGAGCTGGAGTGGCTATACTAATATTAGATAAAATACACTTTAAGACAAAAATAGTAGAGACAAAAAAAGGATATGTTAAAATGATGAAATAATCATTTCATCAGAACATAACAATGATAAATATTTATGTACCTACTAGAGGAACCCCTAAAATTCACAAAGCAAAAACTGACAGAATTGAAGGGAAAAATAGATAATTCAACCATACCTGAAGACTTCAATACTTTGCTTTCAAAAATGAATGGAACAACTAGGCAGAAGATCAGCAAGAACATAGAAGCCTTGAACAACACTATAAACAAACTAGATGTAACAGACGTCTAATATTCCACCAGACAACAGCAGAATACACGTTTTTCTTGAGTGCACATAGAACATTCTTCAGGATAGACGATATGTTAGGTCATAAAACAAGCCTAAATACATTTATAAGGATTGAAATCATACAAATATGCTGTCTAACAACAATGGAATAAAATTAGAAATCAATAAAAGAAGGAGATTTGGGAAATTCACTAATAAATGGAAAGCAGACAACACAATCCTAAACAACCAATGGATCAAAGGAGAAATCACGAAGGAAGTTGTAAAATATGTTGAGATGACATGATCTTGTATATAAAAAATCCTAAAGAATCCCTACTATCCTATACAGAGGAAGCATCAGTGGAATAGAATTATCTTGAGATTAGAGATGGAAGACTTGAAGTGGATAATTACTAGCCCAATTGTAATAATTTTGTTGTATTTGGTAGCCTGAGACTTGGAAAGATTACTATCTATGAAGTATCTATTACTTATCTAGTGCTTGGTTTCTTAGTTTGCTTTGCTGCTTTCTTGTCATTTTCCTGACTTTTAAACCTTGACATTTCTCAGGACTCAGTCTTTGAACCTAACCTCCTTTCTATCTACCCCCTCTCCCTTAATGATCTCATCTAGTCTCACGGCTTTAAATACTATCTATATGCTGCTGGATCCCAAATTTGTATCTCTAGCCCAGACCTGTCCCCTGAAATCCAGACTCAAATACCCCACTGCCTACATGTTGTTCTTGTTGTTGTGTACCATCAAGTCGATTCCAACTCGTATCGACCCTATGGGACAGAGTAGAACTGCCCCATAGGGTTTCTAAGGAGCAGCTGGTGGAGTCGAACTGCTGGCCTTCTGGTTAGCAGTCTGAGCTCTTAACCATTTTGTCAGTAGGGCCCCAGATATCTGATTAGGCCTCTGAAACTCAACACATCTAAAGCTAAACTGAGACCAGAAGAACTAGATGGTGCCCGGCTACCACAATGACCACCCTGACAGGGGACATAACAGAGAGTCCCTGACAGAGCAGGAGAAAAGTAGGGTGCAGAACTCAAATTCTAGTAAAAAGACTAGACTTAATGGTTTGATTGAGACTAGAGGGACCCCAGAAGACTTGGCCCCGGGGACTATCTGTTAGGCCAAAACTAAAACCATTCCCGTGGCCAACTCTTCAGACAAAGATTAGACTGGACTTTGGAACATAAACTTATACTCGTGAAGAGTGTGCTTCTTACCTCAAGTAGATACATGAGACTAAATGGGCAGCTCCTGTCCAGAGGCGAGAAGAGAAGTTAGAGAGGGTCAGGAGCTGGTTGAATGGACACGGGAAATGCAGGGTAGGAAGAAAGAGTGTGCTGTTACAGTGTAGGGAGAACAACTAGGGTCGCAAAACAGTGTATAAGTTTTTGTATGAGAGACTAACTTGAATTGTAAACTTTCACTTAAAGCACAACAATAAAAAGAAAAAGTAAAGCTAAACTGATCTTACTCCTAAAACCAGCCCCTCCTTCCCAACTCAGTAAATAGCAGCTTCCTTGTTCTTAGGGCAAGCATTTTGCAGTTAAACTTGACTCTTCCCTTTCTCTCCTGCCTCTAATGGGTTCATCAGTAAATCCAGTCAGTTTGTCTAGAATCTGGCCACTTCTCACCACCATCTTGGGTACTTGGATTTTTGCATTAGCTTCCCAATTGGTTTCCCTTCTTTTACCTCCTCCCCATATTCTATTCTCAACACAGAAGTCCAAGTGATCTTCTTAAAATGTAAGTCAAATCATGTCACTCTTTTGGTAAAACACTCCAGTAGCTTCCAGTGACTTTTCTTCCCAGAGTACAAGTAATGAAAATGGTCTACAAATCCCTACCTGATCTGATCTCCTGCTTGCTTTCAGACCTCATCTCCTACCTCTTCCCTCCCCTTCACTCTCAGCTTTAGCCACAGTGGCCTCCTTGCCTTACCTTGAACACACAGGGTCTTTGAACTTGCTGTTTCCTCATGTTATCTACAAACCTGGTACTTCACTTCCTTCAAGTTTTTACTTAACTGTCAACTTTTCAGTGACATCTTCCCTGATCTATTTAAAACCACAGTGCCTTCCTCTGACACTCACATCCCCCTTTCCTGCTTTTTTTCCTTCATAGAACTTACTACCATCTAAAATCATATATGTTTTACCTACGTATTTGTTTGTTTCTCCTCACTAGAAAGTAAACTCCGTGAAGGGTGGGATTTTTGACTATTTTAGTCTCCACTGTCTCTCTGGGCCCATAATAGTGTCTGGCACTTACTAAGCCATCAATTACTAGTAGTTGAATGGATGAATGCATGCATACATGCATGCCAGGTAGTTTGCTGGTTCATTAAGCCCTCATAACAACCACATGAGAGTATCCCCAATATATAAATAAGACCTGAACGGGTCTGGCTGCAGCAGGTCTGTAAGCTGCCCTCTCATCAGGGCTTGCTACAGCCCTTGGTTGTGTCTGAGGGAGCTTTGTGCCTCAGAACCTCTCAGTAGAAAAGGCATTGCTGGAGATCACAGATGCACCCATTCTAATGAGGGGACAGTTCAGAAAAAGGCCCTGTGAGCCAGTACCTTGTCCCATTTCCAGATGCTTCTGTTATTGGTCACAGGTAGCCATATATCTGTTCTGCAGTTAACAAAAGGGAAAGAGGCTCTTTTAAAGAACATTGGTCAAGGATACAGATTTTCTTTTTACCTTACTATTATAATGTGCATACAGGATCCCTGGTGGTGGAGTAGTTAAGAGCTCAGCTGCTAACCAAAAGGTCAGTAGTCTGAATCCACCAGCTGCTCCTTGGAAACCGTATTGGGCAGTTCTACTCTGACCTATAGGGTCGCTATGAGTCAGAATTGACTCTACAGCAATGGTTTTGTTTTGTTTTTTATTACAATGTGCAATATAATAGTCTCTGGTTTCCAATATTAAGGATGATTCCATTAGTGGGGAAAAATTCAGTCATTTAACTCTGTGTGTGTATGTGTGTGGAAAGAGTCTGGTCTTTCATTATTGCTACTTAATCTTTCTTACAGGACAGAGTTCTAAAAACATCAGTTCATCTCCAAGCATTGAGAGTTTGCCTGGAGGAAGAGAATTCACTGGCTCCCCACCTTCATCTGCTACTAAAAAAGATTCCCTTTTTAGCAACATTTCCCGTTCCCGCTCACACAGCAAAACTATGGGCAGAAAAGAATCTGTAAGTATTTAAGTTCAATTTTCTTTTTATCCTTAATTTTCCTCTGGAGTGCTGCATTTATTAAGGCTTCTTTAAGCTTTCGGTTTTATAAAGCTCTTAAAACTTTTATGGACTAAAATGAATTATTTCATCAAAAGTATCTTAATTTTATTATTATAATTTAGTAATGTTTTAAGGCTATGGTCTATATTAACACTGGGAAAAAAAAGCATGAGTTTAAAATAAGTTGAATCTTGCCCTATCCCCAGTCCTTTTTTCTTTGTAAGTGCTTTTCCATCAAAGCCCTGTGGTTTTTTTTTCCTAAAATTTAGCAAATAGCATTATACCAAATAAGAGATGATGACACTTGAAACAAACCAAGATTTATTTATTTTTTTTTTAGTTTTAAGTATTTATGGAAAATTTAAAATAATTATTTTACTGTTCTTAAAAGTTATACAAATTACATTTAAATTATGGTTTTGGTAGTTGTCCTCTAAGATCCTTTGTATAAATTTCTCAAAAGGGCATATCAAACGCCTTAAAAATCTGGTTGTATCTGAAATATTTATAAGCCAACTGCACAAGAAATAAAACACTTAACCACATTTTATGGCTAATTTTCTAATATGAACAGCTCATCTTCCCATTTGAAGATAATGCACATGTAAAGCTAACACGGAAATCTAACTATTGCTGAAATTGTCCTAAATGCAAAACAAAAACAAAGTAATAACTATAAAACCTTTGAGGGATAATTATTTAAGTTGCATAAAATAGATAATAACATGATATCTACCTGTGACTTTGTATGACCTTGGCCAAGCCACTCAGCTTCCTGGTGCTCTAATTACCACATACGCAAATTAAACTTCAATACTTTGCTCTCTGAAGGCAGAGGAGTTGACTGCTCTCTTGGGGTTCCTTTCAATGCATAGGAACTAGAATTCTATAATTTGTTAAAGAGCAGCATGGGACTTTCCAGTTAAAAATGATAGCTTGAATGCAATCACTTATCTATGCTCTCTTCTAAAACTCCACTCCAAGAAGAGTTGTTGTTTTGTTGTTCTTAGGTACTGTCCAGTCCAGTCCAACTCATAGTGACCCTGTGTTACAGAGTAGAACTGCCCCATAGCGTTTCCTAGGCTATAACCTTGTCAGGAGCAGATCACCAGGTCTTTTCTTCCCCAGAGCTGCTGATGGGTTAGAACTGCCAACCTTTCAGTTAGCAGTTGAGCTCTTAACCATTGCACCACCAGGGCTCCTTCCAAGAACAGTAAGGGTAGTTAAAGGCAGGCCCTCAAAGAATAAGAAGACAGGAGAAAAGACAATAGTAGTAAATTATGTTACTTACAAAGCTGAACCCTAAGTTAGCAGTAGGTAAAGCCAAGAAGCAACTTGGTTTACATTACAAAAGCCTCTAAAAGCCCAGGAACTGGAAATGGGAATAACGATCAAAAGTCTCTTCAGGAGGCAGATAGATTTGCTACCCAACTCTGGCAGAAGACTGGAGGTTTACTTGTCTACAAAGTGTAAAACAGAATGCTCCAGACTGAGAAAGATCAGGCGCAGACAAGTATGGGATTACTGGAAAAGGGGTGAAGAATAAATTTTAATACTGAATTTGAGACCCCCAGACCTACCTCCACTTGCTTCCCATAGCACCAGTGTGTATATACCCTGCAGGCAAGAGATTGGGAGAGTTTTCTGTAAGTAAAAGACACAAATTTTTAACAAAACACAAAGATACTGACCTTGGGGGTTCTCTGAGGAAATAGCTGGTTCACCTTACGGTGGGCCCAGCCATCATCAAGCCCTATCCAAGTACCAAACTTCTTTCTCTTACTTTTTAGTTTCACACAATATGAGCAAGACAGTTAAGAATCACCAGATACTTGAGGGAAACATCTGATACAAAAACAAATAGGAAAAAACAACTCGTAGGAAGCAAAGCTATGCAGGAGAAGACAGCTTCAGGAAAAATATCACTAATAGTTTCCTGGATATGAGTAACTTTTTTGTGTGTGTGTACTTCAGATGACGGTTTACAGAACAAATTAGTTTCTTATAAATAATTTATACACATATTGTTTTGTGACATTGGTTGCCAACCCCATGACATGTCAACACTCTCTGCTTCTCAACCTTGGCTTCCCCGTTACACAACTTTCCTTCCCCTCCTGCTTTCTTGTCCTTGCTCCTGAGCTGGTGTGCCCATTTAGTCTCATTTTGCTTTATGGGCATGTCTGTTCTTTGGCTGAAGGGTAAACCTCAGGAGTGACTTCAGTACTGAGTTAACAGGGTGTCTGCAGGCCATACTGTCGGGGTTTATTCAGCCTCTGTCAAACCAGTAAGTCTGCTATTTTTTTATGAGTTAGAATTTTGTTCTACATTTCTCTCCAGCTCTGTCCAGGACCCTCTTATTGTGATCCCTGTCAGAGCAGTCAGTGGTGGTAGCTGGGCACCATCTAGTTGTGCTGGACTCAATCTGGTGGAGGCTGTGGTAGTTGTGGTCCATTAATCCTTTTGCATCCATGATAAAAGAACAGGAATGTATGTGTATAATTCAGAGAACAAAAAACAAGAACTCTTAAAATATGATCTCTGAAATGTAAAACTCAATAGAAGAGTTGGAAGGTGAATGTCTTAGTTATCTAATGCTACTATAACAGAAATCTTCCCCTGGTCTAGGAGCTTCTTAGCACAGGGACCCAGAGTCCAAAGGACGCACTCCACTCTGGCGCTTCTTTCTTGGTGGTATAAGGTCCCTCTCTTCTCTGCTGGATTCTCTCTTTTATATCTCAAAAAGGATTGACTCAAGATACAACCTAATCCTGTAGATTGAATCCTACCTCATTAACATAACTGCCTCTAATCCTGCCTCATTAACATCATAGAGGTTAGGATTTATAACACATAGGAAAATCATATTAGTTTACAAAATGGAGGACAACCGCACAATACTGGGGATCATGGCCTCACCAAGTTGACACACATTTTTGGGGGACACAGTTCAATCCATAACAGTGAATTTGGCAGAACTCTCCCAGAAAATAGAATATAAGACAGAAATGGAAGGTGAGAAAGAGAAATGAAAAGTAGAGGACTGGTCCAGGAGGTTCAAAATCTAAAAATTAGGAGCTGCAGAGAGAACAGATAGACAAAATGAATGGAAGGAAATCACCAAAAATACAGTTCAAGAAATTTTTCCACTAATGAAAGACCTGAATCTTCAAATTGAAAAAGCCTACATAATGCCCTAAACAAGTAAAAGCAAACCCACACTCACATCTAGAAAGTGTAAAACAGAATATTTCCAGACTGAGAAAGCTCAGGCACTGTAAAGTATGGAGCTACTCAACTTTTTGGGACTACAACTTTTTTACATCACTAAAAAGGTTCAGAACTCTGGAGACAAAGCAGTATCCTACAAACTTGCAGAGTTGGCGGGGGGCTGGGGTGGGAATGATTTTCAACAAAGTATCAGGGATTAGAACAACTACAGACTTGTCAATAGCAACACTGGGAGTAAGAGGTCAATGGAACAATACTTTCAAAGTTCTGAGAGAAAATACTTCCCAATCTAAATTCAACATCCAACCAAGCTACTAATTAAGAGTGAGAGTAAAATAAAGCCACTTTCAGACATTATAAAGATTCAAAAAATTTATTCCCATGCTCCCTTTTTCAGAATCTGCTAAAGGATGTGCTTCATAAAAAATGAGGGAGTTAACTAAGGAGAAAGAAGACATGAGAACCAGGAAATAGAGGATCCAGAGCAAGACAAAGGTTCCCCAGGATAATAGTGAAGGAAAATCGCAAGACTATAGCATAGCTATTTCACAGGCCCAGAGAACAGCAACCAGCCCAGATTGGAGCAAACTGGAAGGTTACAGAAAGATTTTTCCAAAAAAATAAAGTTGGAAGAATGTCTGCTATGTTTGAACAAATTGGAAGATATATACAACTGGAATGAGTTTGGGTTTGAATTAGTGATAAGTTTATTTAAAAAAAAAAAAAAAAAAAAAAAACTAAGCCAGTAAAAAACAGGACAATCAATGACTCCAAAGGATAGCAAAGTATATGAAGGCAACAAAAGAGTATAATAAAATTCATGACTAAGCATTGGCTATAATTTACATAGATACCATAATGTCACCTTATTGACTAGTAATTAATCAAAATTGTGATATAATTTTATTGAGAATATGGGGTGTAGGAACTGTGTGTTTTCATTGGGAGGGGAAGGGGCAGGTGGTGGTGGTCAAAAGATCCAAATCTTAGATCTCCCCTAGTGGGAAATGAATGGCTAATACTCTCTGGAAAAATCAAGAAGTAGCAATGTAAACTGGAGATATACAGGTGCAAAGCAAACAAAAAATGGTTAAAAAATTGAAAGTGGTTGCTTTTGGGGAGTAGGAGTGGAAGACAGTGCTGTGGGAACTGTTTTTCATAACAAGCCTTGTAGAACCATTTGATCTTCAATACATTGCATATATAATTTAGACTAAAAATTACAAAAAAATAAAATGTACTGCATAATAAATTAGAAAAGAAGATGTCTGCCTATAGAAAGAACATGTCTATGAAGTTAAGAATCAGAATAAGGGAATAACAAACAAGAAAGGCATATGGAGAATGTTTCATTTGCATTATGTCACATTTTTGGTGGCATATGGATTAGTCTACAACACCAATTAATTACTGTTCTTACAGTGGTACTATAATTTAAAACTGAGAAGTTGAGCGAAAATAGAAGTAGAGTAAGTCTAACTCCCTACATAGACCTGCAGTGAACCAAGACACAGAATGCCAAATTATTATTCTAAATTTATTACATCCCCTAACTTGTAGGAAGGAAAGAAGCAGAATTTTTGAAGAGAAAGCTCATAGTTTGCCAAATGATAGTTTTATCTTCATGTGTTGCAGTCAATGTTCTTTGCCAAGTAGTTCTCCTCCATTCTGGGCACTCAGTGGGATGGTGCCTCCTGGTCTCCTGTGATCTCTCAGAGCCACGTGGC